ACCATCCAGGCATGTGTGATGCCTTCCATGTGACAGGTGTGCGCTCACACAATACCCCCTCAGTACATGTTGCACTTGCTCCTGTCATATCCCCCCAGTACATCCAAGCACTTGTACAACACCCCCATCACACACACGCACTTGCTGTTCTGTCCATGCATGCACACAATCCCTGTTACATGCGTGAACTCACACACTGCCCTCCATCACATGCATGCACTCGCTCTTGCTACAGCCGTGCACACACACAATCCCCCCAGTACACACATGCACTCATGTGGTGCCCCCATAACCCCCAACCCCCCATGACCCCCAGGAAGCCAACATGGATGTAGCCAGGGCAGAGCTGGGGTGAGAGGAAGAGGAAGGGCAGCAGGCAGGGGACGGAGTCATGCGTGCAAGAGAGGGATGTGCGCTGGGCTGGGCCTGGCTGTTCTCCCTCCACCCGTCCCCCCAAGGGGCGGGGGTCCCTCTGTGGGTGCTGGAGACTGGGAAGGGGTGGGGTCTGGTAGAGGGTGGAGCCTACACTGGCCTGGGTCTAGAGGGTTGTATGTAGAGGGCGGAGCCTATGGGAGGGGTGGGGCCTAGTGGGTTCAATGCATGTGGGGGATGGAGCCTGGGGGGAGGTGAAGGGTGGGGCCTACTGAATGGAGCAAGGGGTAGCGCCTGGGGGTTAAGGGGCAGGGCCTTGTGGATTGAATGCAAGGGGGTGGGGCCTAGTGAACTGGTGCAGGGGGTGGAGCCTGGGGATGCAAGGGGTGAGGCCTAGTGAGCTGTGCAGGGGGTGGAGCCTGGGGGGTGTAAGGGGCGGGGCCTAGTGGGTTGAATGCAGGGGGGAGGTCCTAAGGGCAGTGGAGGGTCCCTGAACTCCTGCTGTAGCCCAGGGCATACCCCCCCCTCACTGCACTCCCCGATGCCAAGATTGCCAAATACCTCACCGTGGGCGCCCGGGGGGGCATCTGGCTCTACCTGTACCCGCTAACCGGGTGCCAGCCCCCAGCCATCCTAGCTTGGCCCAGCTGTGGGGGCAGATCCCCAAGGTACCAAAGAAGGGACCGAGCAGCACAGACCTCACGTCTACCTCATCCTGCAGCGGGTCTCAGTGCCAGCCCCTGGGTGGGCAGAGGCCAGGGGCTGTGGGGAGCTGGCTCCTGTCTGCGTCACCGGTGTTGTCCCCAGTGGGGCCGGCTCCGATGCCCTGAGCTGTCCGGCCCGATCCCCTCTGCATGTTCCTGAACGTTCAGAGAAAAGGCTAAAATACTCCCTGATGCCGACCAAAGATGGACGAGGACCCTGCTCCCCTGTGGCCTTGCCCCGTGAAGCAGATGGAGCCCCCCGCAACCTCCCAGGATGGGTCTGGGGGCAGCTGGACTTGGCCACGCGTTGCCTGGCGGGGGGCATGGGCCAAAGCCGTGGACTTCGAGGGCACCGTGCTACTCGCCCGGGGACTGGACTGAGCCGGGGAAGGGGGTGGGGAGCTCCATTGACAGCCGCTACCAAAGATCGGATGCATCGGAGAAGCGGCGAAGCCGCAGCCCACGGAGGAAGGGGCAGGAAGCAGCTGAGGATCTTGCTTGCGTCTGCCCGGGCGTCCGTCTGCCCGCTGCTAGGCTGGTTGGAGGCGCTGTCTGGGCAGGCTGCTCCTCTGCTCCTTTCCTGGGCTAGGTCCTTCCTCCTCCGGGAGCGGGTCTGCGAGCCCGGGATGGGGGCTTAGGGGGCTCCTGCGCGCTCGCGCAATAAAGATGCTGCTTTTCTCCGACGTGCCCTGTGCCGCCTGTGTCTGCCGGGCTTGGCCCCTGCTCTCGCTCCTTACCCATAATGCCTCACTCTCGCTTTCCACCCACAAGCCCCCTGCTTTCATTCCTTACCCACAATGCACCCTGCTCTGCTGCCCACAGTGCCCCGCTTGTGTCCCTTACCCACAATGCCCTCTGCCCCTGCTCCTTACCCATAATGCCTTGCTCTCGCCTCCCACCCACAAGCCCCCTGCTCTCGCTCCTACTCACAGTGCCCGCTGCTTTCACTCCTTACCCACAATGCCCCCTGCTCGTGTCCCTTACCCACAATGCCCTTTGCCCGTGCTCCTTACCCATGATGCCCTCCTGCTTCTCGGGGGCCGTGAGGGTGGGGGCGGCCCGCTCATGCCTGTTCCCCCCACGGATCTGGGGAAACGCAGGCCGGGGGAGAGCAGCTGCGGCTGAGCTCGGACCGATGCCCCTCGGCCCAGCCTCTGGTGCACTCTGGCTCCTCCGCGTGCTTACGCGCGAATGCACACGCACACGCTGGCCCCTCTCCACACGCATGCGGGTGCCTCTGCACGCGCATACACAGTTTC